CCCCATAAACAGGCTTCAGTGATGCTCCTGAGGTGGGGCAGAGGAATCTCTTGGCCATTGTTCTCTGGAAACAAAGCAAACTCATTCAGCCTTCATATTACTAAACCTTTCCCACTAATTGAAATACCAGAAAAAAAGAAGGATAGCATACATTACCTGGTAAATACCTTTTCCTAAACATACTTTCACTGAAATAAAAAATAAGATTTCTTTTGAAATGTTATAGTTTTAAGACTAAGTTGCCCTCTTGTTTTTGTTTTGTTTTGTTTTTGTTTTTGTTTTTTAGTGATAATCTTAATTCCAAGGATATGTTTTTCTTTAAGGAGGAAGAAATGAAGTTATAGAAGTAGAAATTGTAACCTGATTTCAAGTCTTCAGGCTCAGGTCCCATAGGTGCTGTTTTGGTCTTGTATTTATATTGTTCTTTCCTTCAGATTAGTCTGTTGTTTGTCTTAACTAAAAATTATTTCATGCAATTGAAAACACACATGAAAAAACATGATTTTATTATTACAATACATTTTTTTCTCCTCTTTTTAAATAAAAAATTAATTTGGGGGSCTGAGGTTGTAGCTCAGTGGTAGAGCACTCACCTCCCACATGGGAGACCCTGGGTTCAATCCTCAGCACCACATAAAAACAAATAAGTGAAATAAAGGTATTGTATCCAACTACAACTAAAAAATAAATATAAAAAATTAATTTGTTACATTTTATTGACAATGAAAATTTGGAAAATGAATTTGAAAAGCAACATTGTTTATAATATCATTAAAACCATAAATAGTTACAAATGAATTTAACAACAGTAGGCAAAACCAACCTTTTGTTCAGTGCAAAAAAAGAAAATAGGCAAAACTTCTACACTTAAAACTATAAAACAATGTTTATAAAAATTAAAGTTCTAAGAAAAAAGAAAGAACACTTAGATGTTGAACAGCTCAATATTATTAAGATGCACATTGATCTATGTATTCATACAGTATCAATCAAAATCTTGACAAGATCATTTTAACAGAAATCATGAGCTAACTCTTAAAATCTGTACAAAAATGCAAGGACCTACAGTAGTTCAAACAATTTTTTTACTTGTCATATTGTAAAGCACTTTTTTCTTTTTTAGATTTTATTTATATCCATTTTGAATTGATATATAAAACAAAAATTTTACATRTTTATAGGGTATCATGTGATGTATGATATGTCATGTTTTAATCAGGCATTATTTATTGCCTCAAGCATTTGAATATTAGTTCATGTAACCCTACTATGCAACAGCATATCAAAACTCCCAAAACTTCCGACTCCCAGCTAGTTATGACTTAGTACCCATTAATCAACTTTTCCCCATCATTCTTCCTCACTTTTTCAGAAAAAAAACTTTATATGATTTACATAATTTTTACTTTATTTTTATATAATATTTGTCAAGTGTAATTATTACTAATAATAAATACATACTTATGATGTTGATCCAGAATTATCTGCATGAGAAACAGTGATTGATTATTTTATAACATGGTTTTTAAAGCAAAAAAAAAAAAAAAATTTCTTTAAATGGGAATTTCATTACTATAATTTTGTTTTGTTAGATCTACAGATGGATATTGATGTTTAGATATCCTGCTCCCTTTTATTTTTATAGCCATGACCTATGACCAACTGGAATTAGAACTAAAGAATCTATTTATGCCAAATTATATTATTCCTGGATATCATCTGAAACATTTTTTTCAGAGCTAAAGGGGGAGTGATAGCATGAGTCTCTAATTAAATAATTTGTATTTTTTAATTAGCATTTTAATGTACTATATCTTTTATTTAATAAATTATTTTCTTAGGTCATTTTCCCAAAATTCTCGATATGATTTTACCTTAACTTCATTTGCTAACATGAGACATTTTATGAGATTTTAAAAAATGGTGTTAATATATGAACCTAGAAATGATAATACTCAAGGGCAGCTGAGTTACTAGGAAGAGTGTACCTGTTGGAACACTGAGGGCACAATTTCCTCTCATGGACACCTACCTAGCATGGTCTCTGAAGACCAGTAGCAACTTCTATGCCTCAAATTCTAGCAGTGTTGGTAAGTTATATTTTGACCAATAATACAATATTTTAAAAAGTATCTGACTTCTCTGGCATTAGAAGTTTATCTCTGTTGGAATGTTTTACATTTGTGGAATAGTTTTAAACAATGTATTTTTCTCATATTTTCACAAATGGAAATGCCATTTCATTGCTATAAACGCCACTTCACAGAAGTGTGTCTTTTCAGGATTCCAGGCCTTGTCTGGAATGTAGAAGGAATGGATGCAGCCTAATTTGCTAGCCAGGTACTGCTCTTGGAGAAATGAGGGACAATCACAGTTCCTGTCTTGTTCAGGCCTTTCTTAGGCTTCATTAGGCCCCACCATGGGCCAGGCCTTAAAGGCTGTTTTTTGCATGTTGCTATGTGATTTGAGAAGTGCATCAGTGTTAGAAAAGTGCAGGGTAGATTAGTTTTCAGAATTTTTTTTTCTTTTTTCCAGTGTCAGGGATTAAATCCAGTAAGCCAAACATTTTAGACAAGTACTCTACCACTGAGAAAATAAATAAATAAATTTAATTTGAGACAGGATCTTGCTAAATTCCCCAGGTTGGCCTTGAACTTGCAATCATGCTGTTTTAGCCTCATTTGTAGCTGGGATTATAAAATTGTACTACTGTACATGGCTCAGAATTTTATTTCTTCATATGGGAACCAACTTCATTTTYCACCTTTGTTTCAAAATACCAATCTCTGGAACTTTAAGAGATGWTGGAATAATGTTTCAGGATATTAAGTGCCCATTTTACAGAAACTCTGTTGGATCAATCTCACTATAATGAAAGGTATGAACATAAAATGCATTTCATGTCAAGAGGAGTGTCTCATAGAGGGATGGGGTGGTGATCTGTTACAGTCCCATCTAGGGAGGCAAATGGGGGAGAATCACTTGAGCCAAGGAGTTTGAGGCCAGCCTGGGCAACATAGTGAGATCATCTTAAAAAAAAAAAATTAGATTAGAAACTGGTAAGAAGAGTGTTGTGATGAAAGAGAAGTGAGGTATAAGAACTTAAACTAAGGTGCTAGCAGTAAGAAAGGAAAGGAAGGTAGAATTATTAGAACTTGATGACAGATTTAATGTGAGGATAAGGGAGAGGAGGATGTGGAAACTGACTTTGGAGTTTTGACAGGGGAAAAATTTTGCTAACACAAAAAAAGGAAGTTGGGGGGGGGGGACCAATCTGCTGGCAGAGATATAATCATTTCAATTTGGAGTATCTTGATATGAAGAACTGAAACATCTAGGTAAAGATATGTGGCTGACATTTGAAACATGGCTGTGGAGTTATAGGATTTATGATTAATCTCAAAGAATTGATATTTGAAGCCACAGGTACAGATAAGATTACTAAAAGATGGGTTGTAGGCCGTGTGCCAGAAAGACAAAGCACAAAGCTTTACGGGATTTCCTCATTTAATGCAGGCAAAGACAAAGAGTGAAGTAAGAGGGAAGGTCTGTGAAAGGGAAATGTATTTAAGAGGGCTACAGGTGGGCTTATTTGTAAGAAAAATATCTCTTGCCCACCTGGGGAGTCATTAACTTTGAAAGGCGGGTTATTTACTTAAAACAAGAGTGAAATGCAGACCGTAAAGAACTAGTAGTGCTGATAAAGTATTGGAAACCAGAGTTTGAAGGTAGTTTCTCAAAATGAGGGGAGTTATCTGACTAYGGAATGAAAGTAAGAATTGAAACTTTAGCAATAGCTGGCTGAATTCAAGTGCATCTGTACAAAACAAAAAGGATTATCTAAGATTATGGGAGGTCTAAAATGATTTTGTAAGGGGATAAGATGGCATTATCTTATAGATT